TAGTTGATTGTATTGAATATGAGATGATTTCGAGGGGGGTCCTTGCCCGTCTTATATAGTCTAGGGGGAGGGTTATAAGTCAGTTAGATCTAGATCTATTCGGCTATATGGTAAGTATTTAAAAGGAATACGATATCTATCATATCCGAACAGATCCTTCTCTATCTTCAAGATTCTTCTGATTGCCTTGCGGTGCACGCCGACCAGAGCCGAGCACCGTAGGCCATGATCTTATGGGCTGGACCACCTCTGATGGTGCAGCCCATGTCTTGTCTTATGGATACCGGGGGCCATACCCCCACAGCTAGTCCCCGAGCGCCTTGTATCCTTTGAGCAACGTTGTCTTGAACGAGTCCGAGCAGTTTGACATGAAGCCGACCAATTTAACTGGTGATCCGAGTAGTGGAAGTCAAAGCCGACCAGCTTAACTGGTGGCCTGGGCGGTGAAAATCAAAGCTGACCAGTTTAACTGGTGACCTAGGCGGTGAAAGTCAATGCCGACCAGTTAACTGGTTAGAAGACCTCGGACTTAGCCAAGTAAGGCTTGCTAGAAGGATGTAAGGGGCTCAAGATAAAATTTGAAAATTCTTCCCCTTAGGAGAAGTGTAGCCACTTAGACTCCATCAAAAAGGAGGGTAAATCAAGAAATAAGCACTACATTCACCGCCAGGTGAAGTGTAGCCACTTAGTCCCCGAGCCTGCTAGAAGATGAAGAATGAATCTTGTAGCAGGGTGAAAGAAAAGAAGTCTGAAAGCTTTCTGGCATCATCTGACATGCGCATATCAAGGCCCTAGACTTGATGCCCAAGATCAGCACCCTGATCCGAACAGCATGGAGCAGCTTGATAGCACACCGACGAGACGTAGCAAGATCCGACCACCAAGGGAGTCCCCAGCTTAGCTGGTGATGCTTGCACAAAGAATCTAAACACCGAGGAGTCCCCAGCATAGATGGCGATGCTTGCACGAAGAATCCAAGCACCGAGTAGTCCCCGACGTAGCTGACGATGAAACCCATGCGATGAGCAGTCTGACCAACTGGTCGGCGGCGAAGTGAACGCCGAGCAGGAGTGAGCGCCGAGCAGTTCGACCAGTTGGTTGGTGGTGAAGTCGAACACCGAGCAGGAGTGAGCGCTGAGCAGTTCGACCAGTTGGTTGGCGGTGAAGTCCGTCTGATAGGTAGTCCAACCACCCGAACGATGATCATCTTGTCCAGTCCCCGAGCGTAAGCTCGTTGACCGAACCATGTCCCTACGAAACAAATGTGTAGAATGGGTAGTACATGATGTAAAAATATATGAACTTTGGAGAAGAATCAGCAATGGTGATGAAATAGCGTATATAGCTCGGCGATCAGTTGGTGTGAACACTTAGTGTTATACTGAAGATGTATTTATATTTCATATAAATCGTCCGACCAGTTAGTGTGTAGCTGAGTCTCCAGCCCTAGCTAGCCCGTTAATCATGACGTGGAGCGCAGAGCCCGTGTGCGTGTAGGAAGAACAAAGCGTTGCTAAGGAGCCATTGCCGACCACCCATAACGCAGAGGGCAGATGCTCGTGCACGTGTAGGAAGGAGCCAGAGATAGGGCGTCTTTGGGGACATCCGAGCGTCAACATGACTGTTCGGGAATTTGCCTTAGACTTAGTTGTATGTCATCTTTAAGATGGTATACATGAAAGAAAATCGTTTGGAGAACAAACATGGAGAAAACAGCTCAGAGAAATATCATGGCGATGTATGAAGATTGGAGAATATTTAAAAAATGTTAAAGCGTGACTTAGCTTTAGACAGAACGTCTAGTCGACGATGTATGGCGTTATCTAGTCGGCGTTGACGAAATTGCCCGGCCTCGAGCTTTCTGAACTGTCATCATGGCGGCGGTCACGATTGTCTTCTAGGTTGTTGTCGTTGCTGCAGGACCTCGGGTTGAGTCAAATCGCTTGATCATGCATAGAGGTGTAGTTGTCGTGCTTGTATGATGTATGTATACATGCAAGAAACCAAGATTGGTTTGGCTTGCATGTCGCTGTACGTGTGTGTGTGGCTCACACACATACATGCAGGCCTAATTAGCTTGTGTAGCCATGTTGATCATGTATAGTCATTGTTTGCTTGTGGCTGCGTGTATGCTTATGTAGCTGCATACGTGCTCCACCATGCAAATCCATCCGTGATTCATATCCGGCGGCTTGCTTTTCTGGTGTTAATCTAGATGAGCTCCATGGACTTGGATCAGTAGTTCGAGATGCATCTAGGGTGCCTAGGGGCTGCAGTCTGGATCAAATTGCACGTCATGTAGGAGCCTAGCCCAGCACGGCGTGCGGTGGAAGCATGCCGCAAGCAACGCGGGGTGGTTCGCGGCGTCGTTCGCGGAGAGCACGGCGGGAGCGCAGAGCCTTGAACACGCAGCACGGAGCGATGATGGAGATGATGACACCATAGAGTGCGCCGTGAGATTGCGTCACGCTGTCGCCTCGACGCGCTTTGATGTCGGGCCACATCAGGTAGGCTAGGGACGCCATCACAGCCGTCGGAGTTGCCGCGAACAACATTGATCTTGGGATCTCATCTGGTTCGTCGAGGATCAGCACGCACACCCCCTACCTGGCGCGTCAACTGTCGATAGAATATCGTCGGCAGTCCTCCGAGGGGTATCCCACGAAGGTAGATTGATCGGCAGAGATGCGTATAATCGAGAACAAGAAGGCAACGGAGACACAAGAGTTAGACAGGTTCGGGCCGTCAACGTGACGTAATATCCTACTCCTGTGGTCTGTTGGATTGTATTGGCTTCGTATGATATTGCCTGTGTTTTGAGGGGATCCCTACCCGCCTTATATAGTCTAGGGAGCAGGGTTACAAGTCGGTTAAATCTAGGAGATAACTAAAAAGTAATAACAGATTACTTGAATCATGGGATCGAACGTATCTAACAGATCTCGTAGTATCTTCAGAATATCTTCTCGGTGTCTTGCGGGGCACGCCGAGCAGCGCCGTGCTCCGCAAGACTTCGTGTTGTGGGCTGGACCACCCCTGGGGGCGCAGCCCATGTAGTCTGTCGTGGGTATTCGGGGTCGTAGCCCCCACAAACACGTACTCGATCATCTCTAAGACTGGACGTAGGGCTCTGGCCTGACCCAGTATAAAATTCTCATGTCTTTTAGATGCTACCATTATCTTCCTAGAGCAGCGCAGTAATCGTATAAATGTACTAGTCCGGTTTACAAAACACCGACACTAAGACACGGTTTGAATCCTAGAACGACATTTTTATTAGGAAACCATATATCGCACATGTATTGATCTGTCAACAACTCAACGTATAAAAAGTGGTCTACTACACTAGCATTTGAACAAACAAATTTAGCGATATAGGGTGACCAGTTCAAGACGATACCTTAAGCAATATTTTTAAGTGAAAGAACAATATTTTTCTTTTACAACAAATCAGCATAAACCAAATTTCAGCGAAACGAATTAGGCCTTAGCTGAAAGAGTATGTCGATCGATCGAGGTAGTATATAATATTACTGTATGATAGTAACAATAATTATCTTACGACACCAATGTGGTCAAAACCTAGTACAGTGGAGTGGACGAGTGGTAGACTGAATTTAATCATGCTCATGCATGCCGTTGTCACATGCATGTGACGTGAGCAAGAAATTTGAAGCAGGACTGGCGGCGGCGATCAGTACAGTCAGTGTCGGCTCTCCAGTAAAATCCCAACACGTGTCCATCGTCACATCCACAAGTACGGTACATGTGTGAGGTCAAAAATCACCACGGTGTCCATCGTCATATCCACTCGGATCAAAGGGAACCTTAATTACTGCTGTGTACTCCATCTCCGGCCGGTTCCCGTTCTTGGTAGTAAGGCCTTGTTTAGATGCAAAAATTTTTGGTAAAATGCACTGTAGCGGTTTTCGTTGTTATTTGGCAATTAGTGTCCAATCATAGTCTAATTAGGCTTAAAAGATTCGTCTCGTAGATTTCGTCTAAACTATGTAATTAGTTTTATTTTTTAATTATATTTAATGTTTCATGCATGCGTCTAAAGATTTGATGTGATAGGAATCTTGAAAAATTTGGCAAAATTCTGGGGAACTAAACTGGCTTAAAAAAAATGGTGACTTGGCGACAGGTAGTAGGTGCCATATGTTCTACTCCGTACTCCTATTTGTGTTTTTCTGGATTGGTGAACCTGCTACGGTGTACACAGGTATACGTAGTATAAAGATGCATGCGTCACTAAGGTTGACTAGTCGACTGAATTGAAGCATTTCTTCTTATCAAAGCAGGGAGGTTTGGCCGCTCCTCAGGGTGTCCACGGTAACAAACTTACTTTGGTCCGTTCGATCTTCGTTTTCACGGCTCACGCCCGTCCCAGCTACTATGCAGCCGTGGCCGCTCCCGTTCGCCTGCATTCGGTCTTTCTAGTTCGTGTCCCATTGCGCCGCCGCCTTGGGCCCTTCCAGTCTCCGTCTCCATTTCCGCGTTTCGGCTGTCCTCGCCCTCTCCTTGCTCTCCGCCGTCACCATCGTTGCCGCCTCCGTGGGTCCCGTGCTCCTCCGTTTACCGGGTTTGTCTCACGCTCCTTTTCTCCTCCTTGATTTGCCGTGCAGATTGGATTTCTGTCTTCCCCGTTTGTTCCGCATCTGCCTTCCTTTCCTCCTCCCCTTCTCTTTTCCGTGCTTTTGCGCTTCAGTGGGATGGGACTTGCTCGTCCTGCAACGTGCTCCTGTGCCAGATCTAAGCCGTCCGTGCTTCGTTGCCATCGTTCTTCGAAGGGGTCTTCGTCTGTTGTTCTCGCCTAGGGTTTTCGTGCGGCGGTGTGGGTGCCCGTGCTGTTCTGGCCGCCTCCACCCTAGACGTATTGCCCGATTCGGCCGCGCGTGCTGCGTCGCCGTGTTTCTTGCCGCTGTTGTACGCGTATTTCTTGCGACTGCGGTTTGCGCGCTACAGCCCCAGCCGGCCCTGTTCGTCCTGCCTGCGCCATGGCCCTGCTTGCTCCTGCTTCCTTTACCCTGCTTCCAACCGCGTTTATTTTCTTCTCCTCCTTTGCTATTTTGGTAGGGTTGGGGACCTGCACTTCATACCGGTGTGGTCTCCACAGTGCTTTTCCCCTTCTCTGTGCTCCACTTCTTAACTCCTTTTTCCATTCCTTTTGTTTTCCAAAATGATTTCCCTTCTGATGTATGTGCTAATACTTGAATTTGTTTCCAGGTTTCGGCCCTGTCGTTGCGTCGCTGCTCCGGATCGACTATGTAGGTGACTCTTGCAGATGCGTTGTGGACGGGACTTACCTTCCTCTTACTCTCGGTAATTTTGTTGGCTTTGTTGCCGGCCTCAGATCCAGTGTTTACTGAGTCCTTACGGTTGTCTGCTGCTTACAAAAAAAGTCGGCCTAGCCTTGGCGTACGTCGCTGCGCTGTGCGGCGGCCGTCGGGATGCTTAGATTTTGCTTACATGCTTTCCTGATTCGCTTCGTGCTGTGACCTGCTTGGCCGGTTATTTTCGATGAGCTTAGGGTATGTGTCAGCTGTTTCTGTCCGTTAGCTTCCTTGTACGTTGTACGCAGTGCTGTACGCGTACGTGTGTGCTGTTGATTTATGCGGTATCTTGGGATTTCCAAGTCTTTTCGTATTGCTTCATGTGTTACAGGTCTATTGTGCGTCTTCCATCCTAATTAGTTCATGATTTGACAATGTGGTGCTGTCATAAACATGTACTAACCATGGATTAATTTGGCTTAATAGATTCATCTCGCTAGTTAGTCTACTCCTGTGCAATTAGTTTTATAATTAGCTCATGTTTAGTCCTTCTATAATTAGCATCCGAACGTCTGATGTGATACAGACTAAACGTTAGCCCCTGGATCCGATCCAAACAACCTGTTACTTGTGTAGCTGCGGATGTGTATTGTGACATGACAAACAAGATAGGTTTTAGTAAAGGGGGCAGCTGGCTATCTTTCAATTGCTTGAAAATGGTGTCGCGTACATTTGTTCACCCAACAAACTTCATTTTACAAAGGGCGCCCCGTCCGAATGCCATGTACTTCCTTACACATTTATTTGCGCCTTATTAACTTAATGTCTTCATCACAGTTTCCCAATTTTATCATGTCAGAGATTCATCATCTTCCTGGTTTTACAGGTGCATGATATGGCTCATACACCTGCCCCCACACTCTTAGCAAATCTAAAGCCAAGAGACATACAGGCTTCTGTCTGTGTTCGAGTTAGCAGAAAGTGGAATTTCACTGGCAGGAATGAGAATGGCCCTATCCTACATGTTGACCTCATTCTCACTGATAAAGAGGTATGGGTTTCTAACATTTTCTATCTATGTGTACATTTTCAATACAATGTAATTGCTTATGGCCTTACTCACTTCAAAGCTTTATGTACCTACATTTCCTTTTGCTCCATGTAATCCGCCTTTTCTTGTACAAAATTGTTGCAGGGAGGTGTTATGTACGCTGAAATTCCAAGATATGAGGTGCAGGACAAAAGCCCTCTCATAGAGGCTGGCAAGGTGTACACCATCAGCAGGTTCAGGGTTAAAAATGCTAAGTATTCCTACATGCCTGTTCGTGGAAATAACATGATTGAATTCACTTGCTACACTAGAGTGATAGTGGAAGATATCCCCTCAGACATGTTCCCACAGTTTGTTTATACGCTTGTCCCTTTCAGTGAAATACATCAGCATGTAAGAGAGCACCCAAATTTTATTGGTAAGCTCCTTTATAGATCATACACTCTAGCCTAAATACGCCAGCTCTTAATGTTCTATATACTATGCACAAATGTTATTGGTGTTGTCGTCAGAGTGCATCCACCGATCCCAACACGTTTACCAGGACAGACAGCGTCGACTCTAACCCGGGACATAATTATTAAAGACTTAGAGTAAGTGCTCTGCGATCATACTGCACATTCACCTTTAACTTTCACACCCTTAAATCCATGTTCTTTGTTTTGTGTTCGTCAATTTCCAGAGACGAAGAGCTTAGGGTCACATTATGGGGATTGCGAACAACAGTATTCAGCCTTGATTCTATCTACAACAATAGTATTCTAAGGGCAATTGTCTGCTTATTTGTAGGTTGCATCCCCAAAGAGTTCCAGAGTAAATTTTCTGAACATCTCCAGTTTATTTAGCATCAGTTTCTCCCTGTTTAGACACATAGCTAGGACATAAAAATATTACAGGGGTATCACATATGACTGGAAGCAACGCTTGCCACTGGTATCTAAATCCTCCCATACCAGAGGCCCAACCGTATTATAACAAGCCTGTCGTGCTTCTACACGGTCGTTTGCATCCTTCATTATATATTGTACGAAGATTTAATTATTAACACGCTTCTGAAATTATAGGTTTCAGGATCAGCACTTCCCAATAGACTTGCCTCCTTCATCACCAATGCAGCTACAAGAGGACGAACAAATTGTCATAGAGCACAAGTCACTTGATGAGCTAAATGCACTTGATCCCTATGAGTTCCCTGTATGTCCTATAGACCATTCAGCATTGGATTACTGATACAAAACAATGCATGTTAAAATATATCTAATTTTGGCTTGTTTGTTTCCATAGGAAACAGGCTTTCACTGCACAGTCACAATTACGGCTGTGCCAGGTGACGATTCATGGTGGTATCTAGGCTGCCGAGGATGCAAAAAATCAAGTCTTGATCAGGTCGGCGGTGCGCCTTGGTGTGGTGCTTGCAAATCCTCAGATTTTATGCCAAGGTAAACCTACTTTCTTAACTCTTCATACACACCACGCTGTTGTTTAGTCCTAAGGTTCAATGACACTCTTCACCATTCATTTTCATTACCCATTTCATAGATACAAATTGACCTTCGCTGCGAGAGATGAAACTACAGAAGGTCAGTTCTTCTGCTTTGACGGTATTGCTCAGCAGATCGTTAAGAAAAGCTGCGAGTCTCTCTTTCACCTTCCTGATAGAATGAGTGGCACACCTCCTGGGCTAACGGCTATTGTCGGAAACAAGTATACATTTGCTATAGGCCTAACGAGCGAATCTTACTATTCAAAGCAGACAAGAGAATACCAGGTCAAGTATGTTATGGAAGATTTCCAGAAACGCCTGTTCACTCCAAGGTCACTAGCAATTGAAGGATCCAGCAAGATTCCTCCTCCACCAAAACCCTTGATGGTCATACTAGCTACAACCACTGCGCCCAGTACAGCCAACACATCGTCCTTGATGATAGATGCACCACCTGCCGAGTCTCCTACTCCAACAAAACCAGCTACTTTACCACCTGCTGGACAAACTATACCATCCACAGCTAAAAATTTAGATGATCAGGCCTCGTCTACCAAGGTGATCTCCTTAACGCATATAATGACATTGTAGGGCCTAATTACTTTTACTACAAAAGCTTACTGTTCAAAGCTGAGACTATCATTTACAGACACTGTGATGTCTGCTGATTCCCGTCACTGTGCAGGTCTCGGTGGAACCTGAACCTGCTCATACCCCTGCTTCATCTGATGTTGCTGAGCATGTGTCTCATATCACAAACTGTGTACATACAATTTGCTAACTCATCCAGGTTCTTGTTGCGCTGTTAAGTCTATACCTAAATCTGCCAGCTGTGTAACAATGCCCGTGCAGATTTGCTTGAATGGTAAGCGGTTGATATAATACCGTAAAACATATGGTTTGGTCTGAGGGATGGTTAGCTTATAGTATCTCTGTGCTTTGCTGCACTTTTAGGTCCGTTTCTAAACTTGCCCGCTGTTTAACAATGACTGCGCAAAATAGCTTGAATGGTAGATGGTTTATATAATCCAGGAGATGATTTGGTCTGACCCTCTGAGGGATGGTTGACATATGGTATCTCTGGGAATTAGTGTTCATACCTTGAAAAGTTTTGTGAAATTCAACCAAGACATCTGGACCTCTTTCTTATGTCAGCCTTACTGTGACACTGGTCATGCCTTGCCATTTCCTAACTCAATTACTAATTACTTTACCACTTTTATTTTCGGAACTATCTAACTGTGTGCTGTTCTTTTCCCATGAGTTACCTATTTTACGCTATACTGTCAAAATTTGCGCACTCACAATATATGAAAAAATGTTCTTGCTATGTTCCTATTAGACTCAGTAAGTCACTAAAGATTAAATTACTACAGATTATTCTTACTGCTGGAACATTAGTAGCCTGCTGACCTTTGTAGTGTAAGATCGTCATGCGAATCATGAATAGCACAACATGAAACCATCAGGTGGATGCACATTGATAAATTTTAATCCTTGTACATGCAACCGTCTTTTTCTTCTGGTGACATGAAAGTAGTGGTATTGTGTAATTGTGTTTATTTCATCACCAGAATTAGTATTGCTTCTGATGATCTTATATCACTACCCCACTATTATGTATTAGTCTATTGTGTAGTACTGCCTTTGAATATTATAGATGCCTGCTATATTTAAAGTACTACAGCTGACACTTACCACTGATTAATTAATCAAATATTACTTGCCGGTTCGCAATTTCTCATGCTATGTTTCCCAGCCCGGCAAAGTCGTCGACCCATGTTGAAAAGAAAACTGCAAAGAGGAAGCTGTTTGAGGAGCAGTCTACTCATGAGGAGGTTTGTCCTCTTTGTATCCACAAATCATATCTTTTTTCCCCTAAAGTGTACACCGCACATACTGATGCTAGACCTGCATTCGCACACATAACAAATGTGAATACAAACTTCCTGTTAACTATGCTCAGCGACCTCTGTCGATGACGTACTTTTCCTATAAGATCAAACAACCTTCGCTGAATCTGCTCATCAGACCTCTCAGGAACTCAACATAGACGTCCAGATCACCGGACACGATAAGGATACACAGGAACAGCATCCAGAGGACCACCTAGACAGCCGAGCAAAAAGGTATTAAACACTAACTATGAATCGGAGATTCACATTTTTTGCCAGACTGTTTAAAGTGATGAGTTAGAACATGAGGATATAATCCTTCTGTGCAACTTCTCAACAATAATAAATATGCTCTGCTTCCAGGCCAAGAGGCCAGGATACTAAGCCACATGCCAAGTCTGGTGGACGCAAATCATCATCAGGCAATCAGAAAAAATGAAAAAGGTTTTTAGATACATACTGCCATTGTTTTATAAAGTCACCTTCTTCAACGCTGCTATTGTCACCTCAACCTATCTGATGTTTTGTACAGCTTGGGAACCCCCTTGGTGCATCGCCTTGTGCATGGCCACCACAGCGCCTACAACCAAGCTCATCTTCAACACAATATACATTGGTATTTACAACGGCGGTTCAAACCTTTGCTGCCTAGGTTACTATACCGCGACGCAATCTGTGCGCTTTTGGACCTCATCGTCAGCATTCTTGTATAGTCTAGGATCCGACTATCTAATGTTATGAAGCTAGGACTCCTACCTACTGCTAACTGCACTGTACCAGACTTTATGCCAAGCTATAACCTGTCTCTGGACATATGGCGTGCACTGTTGTGGTGTGTCAGCAACACTACCCTAGCCTTCCAACTCGAAACATTACCGGCTTCATGACATCCATCCATGTAATATAAGTACACTTTGTACCTCTGCGCTGCATTTACCAGTACTTACTATGCTTACATGTACCATTTGATTTTCCGTTTAATCGCCGACGCGCACGATGGCGCGCGTGATGTACTAGTAGTATATAAAGCCAGCAGAGGAGAAATAGAAACCGTTAGAGTTGGTGAGCTACTGGTACCAAGGACACTGGCAAATTATGGAACTGATGATGATGATAACGACTCCTATTTGTGTTTTTCTAGATTGGTGAACCTGCTACGGTGTACACAGGTATACGTAGTATAAAGATGCATGCGTCACTAAGGTTAACTAGTCGACTGAATTGAAGCGTAGTATATAAAGCCAGGTGAGGAGAGTTGGTGAGCTACTGGTACCAAGGACACTGGCAAATTTCGGAACTGATGATGATCGGCCATATTCGTTTATCTCTTATAATCCGTACTTTTCAGTCGGTTTTTTAATCGGAATAATATTTTTCTTTCATAACAAATTATTTGAAACAATGTTTTAGCTTATTTTTTTCAACGAAACAAACAGGGTCGATGATGGTAATATGAGTGTACTTACTAGCTGCTGCTTCATCCAATCTCATCCTAATCATCTTACTTTGATCTCAAGCAAAGCTGATAAACTGTTGTCGCTGGTACTACCTTTATCAAACAAACAAAAAAACTGTTGTCGTTGGTACGTCATACGTGTAAGTTGCATATATAATAATTAATTCAGCTGGGATTCTGGAATTAATTAAATTGATTACTGTTTTATGTGCAAGATTTGATCTGCTCCACAACTACGCATCACATTAATTGGATAGTACTATAGTCATATATATACAATTCATGCAACAAACCTACGATCGATTTCCTAAGAAACAGACAAACAGTATAATGATGATTCGAGGCTCCTTAATTTCTTCGTCTGAAGAAGTGCTGTTTTTGTAGATTCTGACATGAAACAATAGGTCCTGAATAGACATATACCAAGGGCATGCCTATACTCTCCTTATTTGTTTGGGCTTGTTTGGCTTATAAGTCATGGCTGAAAGTACTGTTGGCTGGTTTGGTGTGAGAGAAAAATACTGTTCGTTGACTGATAAGCTATAGCTTATAAGTCAAATATGACCAAATGAACAGGCTGACTCAGCGTGGGCAGTTTTACTATATTGTGCAAAGTAGTAAAATATAGTGCAACATATTAATGGCCCCGTTCGGCTTACCCAAAAACCGGCTTGTTCGGCTTGTTTTTTCAGGCGGAATAGTATTTTCCTCTTACAACAATTCAGCCAGAATAATGTTTTTTAGCCAGTTTCAATCAAGTTTCAGCAAGCCGAACGGGCTAGATTCTGTTGCAGTGAGAGAACTGACAGAAGCTTCCCAAGTAAAACAAACATGCAGTACCTTTGCAGCTCATCATCAAGACAAGATCACAGGAGCTAATCAGTTTAGAAAAATAGTATATATACAGGTACAGTTAACATTTCCACCGACCATTATTAGTAGCTATGAGCTGAAACATCATTCACATGCATGGCGCGCGCAGGGTCCAAATTAGCATCATGGCGCACTACAGTTTGGACCTGGGCATGCATGCTGTAATAAAATAAAATAAAACAAAGGCAGGAAGATTGCAGCAGATGCAAGCTTCACGTGGCTGCCACCTACTGCCTTCTCGTCGGGCCATGACTCATGTGCCCCCTCCTAAAGCACCCAAAAAGAAACTCACTCGATCTCGCCAGCTAATCTTCAGTGAGTATTACACTCTCACAGGTCACGGCTGAAAGCTATAGCTAGTATCAGTGTATTACTAAATGTGAATTTTTTAGACCATTTGAAGAATTTTGTAGCGTTGTTTCAAAAAAAACATAGAATACAATAAAACGTAGATGAAACAACCATGACTCTTAATATATAGTTTTAGCGGGAGTTCTCTGTACTGGATACGTCATTTTATTCTTTTGTTTGAAACATTTAATAGTATGGCCCATTTAGAGTTGGAAATCAAGGCAAAGAGAGTTTCATCTACGTAAAATTCACGTCTCGGCGAGGATGCTGATTAGCACAAATCCTGGAGGCTTTAGGGTTTACTAAATCACTTCATCAGCTGGTCAGAATGTGAGCTACAGCAGCACTATTTTTTTTTAGGCGCGCACCTTGTTCAAGATGCAGCATTTCAGTATTTCACTTGGGAGTTTGGGCCCATCAAGGTATTATTCATTCAAGAGCCAAGAGACGGGATGGATGGGAGGCTACCTCAACCTTCTTTTTTTTTGTTACGTTCTTTTTTTTTTTTGCTGTATAGCTACTGAGTAGTAATTACTTTTGTGTCATTACTTTGAAAAAGTGTCAAGGAAAGAAACAAAACCATTTGGCCTAGAACAGTAGTAGGGACTTGAAAAGGACCCCTGAATCCTGCATTTCTGTCAAATCAACAGAGAACTGTTCTTTTCGGTAAAGAAACAAAACCATTTGGCCTAGAACAGTTAAATGTAGGGAAAAACTAATTGAAAAGGAAATTGCCCTGAATCCTGCATTTCTGTCAAATCAACAGAGAACTTGTTCTTTTCGGCCTAAACCTAAAGGGATGTACCTTGATGTTACATTTCCACCGTTGAGCGTGACTTGGTACCATATAATTGGTCAATTTACCATCTTTTCTTCCCCTGACGGGATAAAGCAGTAACCTTGATATGAATAAGTTAAACATGGATGCAGGTTTTCCAGCATCAATCAAATACAGATTTTTTTTGCCTGTTTTTGTTTAATATAAATCACCACCTAACAAGTAAGCTGATTGATGGTATTTCCTTGACTAGCCTGGTCAAACGCATCAAAACCCGGTCAAAAGCGAAGCTGAGACTGATCCTTAACAGCTCATTGGGAAGAGTCGGTACACTAATCTACTCCACTGTGATTCAATAAACAAAAGAGTACAAAAGACACGTACATTTGGATAGATCTCCTTAGCACTCAACGCCATAATCAAACCCA